AAAGCGGGGAAACAACCACCCGAACTGCCGTTGGCACAATTGGTTGTTGCCCTATGTTGCTATGAACAATAAATGCACCGTCCTAGCCCTTCCTGTCCGTCCCTGTTGTTATGAACAAATTGCACCGCTCTTGCCCTTCCTGTCCATCGCTGTTGTTACCATTTTGTTCGGAAAAATAGCGAGCATTCCGACAATCACATACTTGTTGAATGGCCCCGATACTTTCCCGAACAAAGGGAAACGAACCAAACCTATGCATACCGTTGTTACCCTTCCTGTCGTTTAGAATCACCGTAACTCGCTCACCACTCCCGTCTGATCCGGACACTTGATGTTGATCACCGCCGTGAAGGTGGCCGGAGGGGGCGACGCCGTTTCACCCGCAAGCTCCGCCACGGCCGGACGAGCACCGCCTCCGACAGCCCCGGCAGCAGCAGCGCCTCCTGCTGCTGCAACGCCGGGAGCTTCGCCTGCCCTTGCAGGCGTCGGTGCCACCAGATCGCTCATTCTTGTGGATGTAATCGCGGAGGCTTCGTCCCCGCTGCTGTTCTTGTTGTCAGCACCCGTTGCTGCTGTTGTCAAAACCCCTGTTTAGGTGGTGCAGCACGGAGTAGAGAACGGCAAGGTGTAAGGGAGGGGCAAAACAACGGGGACCGCCTTCGCGCGATCAACAAGATTACGAGGACATACAAGAGGGAGGGGGGACGCAGACCCTATTCCCTAACCCCAACCCCAACCCTAACCCCACTTCCTCGATTGCATACTGTACTCAACATGTTTTACAAAAACGACAAAATCCTGCGACGGGTACTGGTCAACTGGCGGATGGTTGCTCCCAAGTGCGAGCAGGTGCTTGACCCGAGCCATGTTATCTTCGCAGTCTGCTTTGTCGGCCATCGCTATGGTACCACCGGCGGAACTTTGACGCTCTCGTTGTGCATCGAGGGTCATCGTCAAGACGCAAGCTTGGATGGAAGCGTCAATTACTTACTTCTTGTAGACGTGGAAATTAAGGTACTAACTACCCCAAGGTTGCATAGGATACCGCATTGCTGCAAGCGGATTCGCGGACTTTCTGGACCGTACAGTAGCCGCAGCATTCCAATACAGGAGAGGGTGGCTTAACCCCTGCTTAGTGACATGCCCTGTTTACCGACCACGAAATCACGTGGCACCGCTGCACCCCGGTAGAATACTGACTGATACTGACTGCCATTAGTTGTTGGTTCGGTTTAGCGACGTGCCCTGAATAGCGGCCACACTTGGTCGTGGCACTAGTCTAGGGATCGCTAAACCGGGGCCCCCACTGCATTACTATTACATACGTGGCGACAGTAACAGCAGGTATGAGCGTGCCAGCGCGCTCGTCGCTGCTTCAGAAGCCTTCGGGATGTAGGTTCGAATCTCAGCAGAACCACAGGACCACAAGAACTGGAATTTTTTCTCACATGGTTGTATGGTGCCGAAATAAATGTGCAAGCGCATGATTCGTGTGTCCACTAAATGGCAGAAGAGTTGACGGTACGGTATGGCACGATGAGGGAAGGAGGGACTCAATCCTCCTCTTCTCGTGACGAAAAGTTAAGGCGAGCACCACAGATGTAAGGGTAGAACGAGATCAGAACAGAACAACCAAAAAACTCCTCTAGACTACTACATTGGCCTACCTCCTGTGTGATGACCTCAAGAACATATGAATACCACAAGGTGTAAAATATACCATGGTACTGTATGAATAAGAAAGAGTATACCTTCGGGTCCAACTTTAAAAACTCCTCTAGACTACTACATTGGCCTACCTCCTGTGTGATGACCTCAAGAACATATGAATACCACAAGGTGTAAAATATACCATGGTACTGTATGAATAAGAAAGAGTATACCTTCGGGTCCAACTTTATGTTAGGACACCTTTCTTGGGTAAGTTAGCATGTGACCACGGGAATCGACAGCTTCAAGTGTGAGATAAGTTCGGGCAGATGAAGGTACTGAGATCGGAGCGGTTGTTAATGTGAAAATGACAACCAGAGTGAAGAGGATGGCGCACACACAGCACGGGATGAAGCATCTTGTGCCTCCAACGATGAACACGATCTTCTTTTTCCTACAATCGTGTCGGCCGGCGTCGGCTGGCTAAAGTTGCAAGCAGGCTGCTGATGGTCCCATCAATCAGCGCTAGCTGCACGAGGGGGTGCAAGATGGCCGCTACTGCTGCTATTGCGAACGGCCTCTAAATGACTTCGGTAGCATAAGGTATCAATTACACCCTGGACAGAGGTTAAATCTCAATTACTCTGCAGCAAGGCTTGCGGTGCTGTGACTGGTGGTGTGGGAGTACGGATGTGTACATCCTCTTCGACATGAATAATCTAGCTTTGACAATCGGTCCTATCTCCTTAACTGGGAGTTGGCAGAAGCAGTAGTTCCCACCACTATCAGCGCTGCAGCTGCAGCAGACGGCCTCAGTTCGTTCAAGGGGCTCTTGGGAGTTTACATAAAAGTACAGCAGCAGCCCGGTGACAAACGCTGGTTGGCCTGTTGGCCTTCGAGATCACGAGATCACGACATCATGATATCACGACCACCGCACAGCAGTATCTGAGCGGGTCAACGCTTGTTGCTCCAATGTGTCCTTTACTGTATATACATAGGATGCCACATCGGGATTCTCTTGCTTGTAGCTGGTAGCGGGAATGAGGGACGAATGCATGTATGGTGCAGCGGTACAAGAAGTTTTCCAATTGTACGCCCCGAAAAATCTTTGGGTGTACCCGTAAGATTGCGCGTCAGCGCACAGGGGTGCGAGCGATGTTCAAAGCGTAATTTCTCCACAACATGAGAAATGTCAAAAAGGTCGGTCTTGGAAATATCTCATCGAGAGCTTTCCCGAGAGGAGTATCAGTTGGCGCTCGCACCCTTCTGGTTGTAGAGAAATTACGCTGTAAAAATCGATCGCACACCTTGCGCTGACTCTCAACCTTAACGGTAGTCTACCCGACTGCTGTACTGCAACTGCTGCATGTATACAACACTAGACATTGCCTGTAGGTTTTCAGAAAAAGAGTAATGCAATCGACTGCTGCTGCCCTTGTCCAACCTCATTCCTCGGGAACGACTCGGGAGCGAGCTGCCTCGCAAGAGCATCGGGCCTCGACAGATGGGGGCTGTGTATACACCAGAACATCGGTCGCATGCATCAAAAACCCAAGATAGCCTAAATGCGTTGTTGTTGGTACAGTCGACCCCGCTTTAAGGATGCACATGGTTGTTCCTGAAAAAAAGCGTCCTTACAGCGGGGTTGCGTCCTAAAAATTCAGGGGACGATAGCTCACCCATCCAATGGAGGCATGCTATACCTCAAAGTACGCGTCTTTTGCTTAGGAAGGGGGTGGTATGAAAAGTCAGCATCGCCGAGACGACTGGCAATCGTTTGTTGACGTCGAACATATTTCCAATNAAGCCGGGACGGAGCACGCCGGGTTCTCACCGGACCAGGCTCTCACATCACCAAGCGCGAAGCGCCGTGAGATATTCGGCGAGTCGCATGAAGGGTGCACTGCATCCTGCTAAGGATTTTCGGCATCTTGTGCTTACTTCCTTGCGTACGGATGACAGCTGCGTATGACTTAATTTATTTTCTGGTGCTTTCACTTCCTGAGACAGTTGTAAGCACTGTGTAACTGCCTCGAGGGTGCTTGACCATTTTAACACAACGTGGTGCGATCATCCCCCTTGCGCGGAGTGAGGGTTCTCCACCCCGCACAACATGATCTACTCGACCACCATTATGGTTACCGCCAAAAAAAAAAACGGAGGTAAAAAAAAAAACGGTAACCTGGTTGCCGAGTTCACGAAGTGAATTGGCTTGTTTTACAACGTCGTTGCCAAGCGACGAAAACCCAACCCCGATGGCAAACACCGGGGGGGGGAGTACAGCAGTCGGCGCCGTGTTATAAAACAACTACCGTACACAAGTTTGAACTTGGCCAACTAATGTACTGCATAGCCGGCAGCGGAAGAAGGACGAAAGTCCAAATTGACATACATTTATCTCATTCTTGTGAAACAAAAAAAAAAACGAGCGTATTTCAGCGTTGCACCGAGGAACACCAGTACATTTCACTGTCCCGGCGGATACCAAAAGCTACTCTGACGGCTTTTCCTTCCACATATCGCGAAGAGTTCCCTGAATCTCCCCTCGCGGCTTGGCTCTACGGCTCTGTTGAGTTGCATGAGTAAACGAATGAACGGTCTCCGAAAGAAGGTACTGCGTCTCACGGTACTCGCCACCCATTCCCTTCGCGTACAAATACAGATAGCGCCCGCAGTAAAGAAAAATTCTGTGAGAAAAAAGGCTCAACTTTGTACGAAAATAAGCAAAAAGGGCGAAGAAACATAGCTCAATCTCGACCACAACGTAAGAAACACCCCAGTAAGGAACGCCATGGTGCGATACCCCCATGACATCAGAAATCTGCGGTGCTCCCAACCCCCTCCCCTCCCAAGCTGAACAGAAGTGCATATTGTTGTAGGAGGCAGAGCCCCCCCCCGCTCCCCCGCTCCCCCTCGCCCCTGCTGTTCACAGTGAGTGCTGTACTGTACTACTGCCACACATCGCGGACAACCATATGTTCTCCGCTGTTGTACGGGTTTGATGGCACTCTCCCCCTCCCTTGNATATATATATTTGATTAACACACACGTGCTCTTCCAGCACGGACCGAAGTCAGTACAGGTCCTGTTTCAGTGAACATATGCGCGGGCTCTCACGAGGGGGCCCGCACTTGGACCCCCAACAGTATACCCCCCGCACACATGTTCTCTGCAGATCGGATCTTGTATCCAAGTACCCCAAACAGCCCCCCTGCTTGATACAATATACGATCTGGAAGTCCAAGGTGGATCATCTTCCAACCAATACAAAAACACAAATAACCACTCGAGAAACATCCTTACAAAACTGGTTACGCATTTAACGCAAAGCGTCTGCATCAGTTTATCCATGAACCCAATGTATTCTCAAACCGTCAAAACAAAAGAATCATCCTCAGAAGAGTCCCCAACAAATATCTGCGCTACATCAGACAAGCGTCAGAACGGTGACGGACAAATCTAGAAAAACAGCTTTAAATGAGTTGACACAACATCTTCAAACAACACAAAGTTTCAACTTCTCGACCAATTGAAACAAGCATTCGGAAAGCACAAAGGCCCCAACCATTATTCGTCAAAACATGTCAAACCCTTCCTCCAATATAGCGTCCAAGGACCAAATCCTAAACAGCGCGTACGTGCTATCAGTGCCTCAGCTGTTGTCCAAGAGACGATAGAGATATAAGCAACTATCCATGCAAACAGCTCCCCTGCCGCAACATTTCCCGAAACATGCAAATTTTGTGCCACCCTTCTCTCAGTACCAATATCAATACGCAACAGCCCCCCAGCAGGAACATTTCCCCGAGACATACATACAGATCTGCCTGCGTTTTCTTCCCCTCCTATTCAACCACCAGAAGATCTCAAAACATCAAAGTGTATGAGACAGCTCCCCAGCTGAAACGCGCCCTGCAAACACAAGAAAAACATATACGCATTCGCTAGTGTTGCGTCTGGAATCATTGGAACCATGACAACACATGCCATCCCCCCCTAATTCTCGACGCAAAACACAGCTTAGGAAACGCGTCCACAGAAAAAAAATGCTTCCTGAATATTCATCACAAAATCACGGTGGAAGCAAAACGCGCTCTTGTGCAACGGTTTCGTGAGGAAGTCCGCATGCGGAAAAGTCGTGGGCACATGCACAATCTTAAACTCGATGTGGTGGCGGGGTTGACCGCAAGGTGAAGAGCCCCCTCGTTATCCTCGAACAGCAGCGTGCACCCGACATCGCGACCCGGAAAAATAAAACCCCAAATATACCGCAAGAAAATCGCCTCCTTCATTCCGTCAGCCATCGCAACATACTCTGCTTCCGTCGACGACAGGGTCACACTTTTCTGCGTCGTAGACAAAAACGAAACACATGCACCGCCGCACATCACAACTGCTCCCGAGACCGACCGCCGGTCAGTGGCCCGGCTGGCATAGTCGGAGTCAACATACAAGCGCAAATCGATACCCTCCCTTGAACCCCGCTGAAATGTAATACCAAGAGTACTCGCGAATCTAATGTACATCGCAATGTGCAACGCAGCCTGCCAGTGTATGCTCTTCGGTGCATGGGAATACCTCGCAACGGACCGCACGGCATTAAGGATAACCGGCCGAGTCTGGATAGCAAGCCATATGAGGTGACTTACCAAAGAACGAAAAGGCTCAACAACATCAGGTTCGTCAGCAGAAAAATCGTCAAGCTTCACTCCAACAGGCATCGGGGTCTCCTTGATGCGCGTGACACCAAACTTCGCAACCAAGTTGACAGCAAAAGTTTCTTGCGACAATGTAAGCGTACCAG